TAAGTTTACCAAAAGATTCATCTTGTAAGCCTCAAAAAACAATTCTTTCCATAGCTCACTTAAACTACTTAATGTAGAACAATTCTTTTTATAAAGATCATTAGAGAAACAATAATATCTAAGGCAAAGTACAGAGAAAGAAGTTTCCTTTGCATTAAAAAGAAGATGTAATGCAATGAGAATGTCTACAATTAATGTGCAATCTCTATATCTGGTCAGTTTTTCTTTGAGGACATTTTCTTGTCGTTTTCATTTCAGTTGATTGATCTGGCATGGCTAGATTTATAACCATCTAAAAAGATAAACCTAAGCAGTCTAGATTTTGTCTTTAGCATATAAAGATTTTTTCTTGCTTGAAATGTTAAGTGACTTCCAGTTCCTCAAAATATTCAAATTTGTTGTTTTTGCAAAATTCCCATATACAAAAAGAGTGGAGGAAAGAAATTGTAAATGGTTCTCAGAGCTTCTTTGAGTGGAGTCGTCCAATGCCTGGAGCATAGAAGGTTTGAGTTGGTGCCAAGGGGACTCGGGTTTTGTGAGTTCAGAGGATGTGTTTGAGAGAGCCCCAGCTGGAGGCAGGGGCCTAGTCGAGTTGGGTTATGGATAGAACCATGAAGGTCTTTCTGTGGGGCCCAGTTGGGTTGGGACTTGGGGTTTTTAATTGTCTTTGGCTCTTATATCAAATGGAGTACAGAATCGGGGTGATCACCTTCTAATCACGGCATAGACTAAAACCATTACAAAAACAGAGATAGAAATGATTCTTAACTTACATTATTTCAGTAATTCAATTTTTCACGTCCTTTATCCATGTAAACTTTCTCTTGGAGTTAGGATAATTTTCAAGATGCTTTTGAAGCTAGAATGACTCCTTGATAGAGTCACAACTTTTTATGTCACAAGGGACTGTAATGGGGCACAACCCTGTCAGTCTGGTGAGACCACTGACGTAAAGATTATTATACTTAAATAAATGAGAAATTGTTCAAAGCACGTATCTCACTGTAACCGCACCAAATGTGCCTGCCTGCCTAATTTTTGTTCTTTGAACAGTATCATACTACTCAACAAGTGATTGAAGTTTCTAAAATAAAGATACTGTTCATGTAAGATGCAAGAATATTCACACTAACTTGCGAGATGGAGAATAATCCCTGCTTCCCCATATTAAAGAAGGGCGCGTGGCACAGGCTCACTCTGTGATTCATCCGTCTGCTTTACTTCCGTTCTGTCACCCCGTGCATTCTTGAGAAGATGCTGCATTTGCTCTAGAACCTGCAGGCAAAATGCGTTTTGTGTGTGTCTTTCATGACACAAGACTTATGATTTTCAAAGTCATTTAAAGCCATGCGTCATATATAAGATCTACATCACCAGTGGTTTTAAAACAAGAAAGCAAAGGTAATCCTCAGTAACGTATCCAACCACATTTTAAGCTATTTGTGAATGAAAATTATCATGTTTAAAGAGAAAACCACTTCTCTGTAATTTTGTTCCTTGTGTTTTCACAACCGCATGTCGACAGAACTCTAGGAAAACACTGTGTTTGGCTGAGAAGAGGAATTATCAAGTCAGAGTTAGGATTACAGGGTGTTTTTTGTTAGCGATGATGGCTTTTCATTCCAAAATACAAAGAGCTCAGGGAGACATTGTGTCCACTGGTAGCTGGCAGGCTGACAGTAGTCCCAGCACTAGCATTTCATCAGCTTGAATCTCGACCGGGCAACTGGTTTCCGATGGCTGCTCTTGTTCGGTCCGAACCACAATCCTATGGGGCGGACAGTGTTCGTTCCTACCCAGGCAACAGGTCAGTGCATGTCACCCGGCTGGAAGGTGACGGAGCTGGAGTTGGAGGCTCAGCCTTCCAACACTGGAGGAGAGGCTCTCATGACACCCCCTTCCCCCGACGAGGGTCACCGAGCCCACGCCCTGGGGGAAACAGGCTGGAGTGACCACTTTGTTTGCCACTCGGTGTGTCTGTCCAGCTCTTCTGGACCCCTGAAGCCTCCTGTGTCCACCTAGCCGGCAGCTCAAGCTCGAATTGGATTCTATCTATGACATCAAATGTGGCATTTTTTGTCCTTTTATGGGACAGAAGGCAAACCCTTTAGAAAAATTTTGTCCTCCAGTGTCATTATACCTACAATGCCGGCTGCACCTGGCAGCTGGTTCAAGGCGGGCCGTCGTCACGGGCAGGCCGTTCTTATGTGCCAGCAATGGAGAGGTAGGACGAGGCGTTACTGTCACCTTTGACACATAAATATAACCATGAAAAAGAGTAAGTCTTGATTAAATCCTTAGTTAACATATGACTTCCAGGAGCAAATAGTGTTAATCAATACTGGCTCCAAACTTTGGCCAAGGGAATGTTTTGCTCTTTCTATACATTTATAACTATTTTGATTCAACAGGAAATTTTAGACTTAATGGATTCTTCATCAATAGCTATTTATTCACTCTGTCCCTTCCACGTTGCTCTGTTATTCTAAGCATTTCTTCGGAGACCTACGACCACAGAGCACAGGTTAGCGAGTAGAGAGCAAGCAATGTGCTGGCGGAACACTGGTTAAAACTTACTTCTAGGAAACAAAGCAGATTTTATTCCTCGGGCTTATTTCCTTTTTTCATATTCTTTATATTTTTCTATTTGTTTAATTTATCACTTTATGGATTACTCAAGAAATACATGAACATGATTTTATTGTAAAGGTTTAAGTAAAGTGAAAATCCTCTTTAACTCTGCTACTCAATCCTACAAATACCTACCCAGTGAAACCCGAATTCAAGAAGAAAAACCCCCAACAGGCTTCAGTGTGCGTGTGTGTCTGCATGCACATGTGTGTGCATGTGCATGTGCATGTGAGGCACAATGGTGGCCATGACTTGGGTTTGAACGTGTATCTGCAGTTAAGGTGGCTTCAGAGTGTCCTGGGAAGAGTTGAAGTCTCTCATAGTCATTCTGGGCTTTAGGTCCCTTCTTCTATGGATGAGAAGTTACGAAAAGTTATTTTACCCCGATGCTTTTCTGGCTCAGTTTTGGCAAAAAGGCACACAACCAAAGACCATGTACAAATTTGAAGGGGGAAAAATGTATTGCCAAGGAGTATGTAATGATGGACTTTTAAAATCCTTTGCCTGTCTCAGAATGGAGAGTCCCTCTAGTCTTCTGTTTTTCCTAAAGACTTTTGCAGATCTGAGGTCTGAGCTTGTTTTGTGAAGTCTGTGAGAACGGTAGAGCGTAATGGCTAGTACCTCGGGAGTCGGACAGACTCCGTCCAACTTCAGCCATCAGGCAAGTTCTTTCTGTTCCCGGGTCGTGGGTTTGTTCCTGCTGCCCACCTCAAAGCATTGCTGTGAAGATTAAATCAGATGTTGCCCTCAGCACAGTGCCCGGCACACGGTAGGAGTTTCGGGACGTTAGCTCTCATTATCTCTGTCTTCCATCTCCATCATCATTGTCATGATCAGGGTGTGTGTGCGCAGGAGTGCACCGCCCGAACTCCTGCCTTGGTTGCATCTCGTCAGGATACAACTCAAACCCCTTGAATCAACGAGGCACCCATGGCCATCAAGAGCAAGACTACTGAACCTTGATCAATAATCCAGAGGATGTATTTCCACTTCTCGTGTTATTTCTTAAATGCACACACACACATTCTTCACATCCTTCTTCATGCTTGATTTTAAGCATTTCACTTTTCTCCCTCTGCTTTGTGTGGAGGAAAATAAGGCAACGAGTTTGCGATATTGGCCACGGAGGGCAGAAGCTAGGGTCTATGTAGCCATGTGTTTCTGCATCCAGAGATCACATATAGCCAACCCAACCATGTTAAATGCACGCAGAAGAAACTCAGTCAAATTAAAAGCATGATATAGACATGCTTGTGAATCTAAAGAAGCAAACCTTTTACTGTGATCATGGTCAAAAGAAAAAAATAAAGGCTTTTTAAAAAAAAGTTTCATACTAATTTATTTAAACAAATCCTCATGGGCATGTCTGAATAGCCATTGATGCTGCACTTTGTCCCATTTGATTGATACTTTAGAATAATACCAGAAATGCTAATTACTCTGTGTTTTTCTTAGGAGATTTGCATACGGGGACTAGTTGAATAAGGGGCTTCACGTTTATTGACTCAAAGAGAATAGATGAAGACAAAGACTATGTATACACGTGAATGAGTATTTTCTCTTTAAGCTGGTCATTTATCCCAGTAATGATTCCGCTGATCAAGATACCTTTCAAAGTCTTTTAAATGGATCCAAAGCAATATTGAATATCGAATATTGATCCTTTGAGGGTAAATTGGATTTTTCAGAGATTTCCAAAAATATTTTAGAACCAAGTCTTGTAAATGAGATGAATAACAAATCTAAGTCATGATTTAGGTGCAAATTGAGATGTTATATAAAATAATAAGGCTGGCTACCTTATGTGGACAGGTTTCTTGGGTGGAAAGTTTTCTGTTTTAAAAGAAGATTTCCAAAACATCTTGAAAAATGGAAACATCGTTGCAATGATACGTTAGCCTCCAAAAGCGGTTCCTTTGAAGGAAAAATACTCCATGAGATGTATACATTCCATTCTGTTTCAAATCAGTCTTACATTCTTATCATTTTACTTAATATACAGTTTATTTGTAGACAGGACTTTCAAATCTGACTTGGGACTATATTTCTATTGAGAATATATAGTGAAAATTGCTATGAACACAGTGTTTAGCAGGATTTGTTAGCATTTGATGGTATTAGCATTCAGATTTCGCTACTTGAATTTTTTTGATTAATGAAGATTTTTCAAAGTTTTTATGTAACTCCTGATTGATGACTGGCAGATATCAATTGGGGGCCACGTATACTAGCTCATATACTATGGTAATTTTTTACTGCAAGAGACTATATACTACCATATACTATGGTAATTTTTTACTGCAAGAGACTATGACAGTTCTTGTCTCCCCCTTAAGCCATGCCCCTGACGCCCCCGATTTGTTTTCCAGCAATGGCGAGCCGGCAGGTGGATATTGCGACTCAGGGCTGGTTCATTGGTCTAATGTGTGCTGTCGCTCTCCTGATCTTAATTTTGCTGATTGTTTGCTTCATCAGAAGAAACAAGGGCGGGAAATATCCAGGTAAGAAAGAAAGACAGATTAAAGTTGCCGTACAATGCTGCATAATTATTCAAAACTATAAAGAAATAATGAGCGTGATCACGCAGATCGCAATAAGTGTATTTTCCCAGAGCCAGAAATTTGGGCTTTCTGTCCCAACAAGTTTTGATGCCTTTTTTTTGGGGGGGGGTACACAATGTTTTGGTAAACATTGTCAAGGATCAGAAGGTATTTGGGGGAGTAAATTAACCTGTTCTCTGAAGATATTAATGACTCTGCTTGCTTAGGCTCCACCTAAGTCCCAGGTGCTACACCTAAAACCAACAGGCAGAGGGTGAAGGTACGTGGAGTCTTCTAGAGGAAGTACTGCAAGGGCTGAGTCTTGATATCGTGATATGTAACATTGCTTTTCCTCTATGGCTAATGGTTTTGTTCAATTCAGTGGATCCAGTGAATTTATATTTTCTTTCCCTGGCCATTTCCCATTCAGTGGCCAGGGAAAAAAATCCGCCAAAGAAGAGATGTGCTGAAACCATTTGTAACCTTGAATATAGGTAATAAATAGATGGGCCAAAGCCTTTAGTCTCAAAGAGACTAAAACAGCCAAGTATATGCAGGGCCACATAACCCATCTGCTTGGGTAGGACAGCGGCTGGGTATAGAATCGTTTTCCACTGCGATACATCTCAGAGAGTGCACTCTTGAAAACTTTGAATAAGGAAACAAGGAATCAATAGGTCATATTATCCCTTTGAAATTTTTTAGTCAAAGAGAAGGAAGATGCTCATGCTGATCCTGAAATCCAGCCCATGAAGGAAGACGATGGCACTTTTGGAGAATACAGGTGAGCTGTTGCTTCTCAGCCTCCCCTCACGTGCCCCATGCCGCACATGCGCCGCGCACTCATGCCGACTCCCGCTTATAGGATGGGGCCAGGGACAGACTCTGTGGCCTTTCCTTTTTTCCTCAAATATCCATTTAGAAACACTTCCATGTGTACATGGCTACACGTCCCCAATGAAAATATCCTCACTCTTCACTAAAAAATAAATCTCCATCTTAGTCCCAGGTTTGGGGCCAGAGTGCCATCCACTCCACCATCTTTCTCCAGAAGCGTTGTTGTATTGCTCAACCTAGCAAGAGCTGGTGTGTTATAATAAGAGTTAAAACAACAATAAAGACACTACACGGCTTGCACTGTGACGGAAACTACACCTGTCACTTTCTAAGTAATGAGTTTATAAAATTGGTGGTACTCTTTTTAATCCTGGATTTGATGCTTGTTTTTCCAAAAGAAATGCATATATCCCATCCATTAATCATGAAAGGATGGCAAGGCTCTTTCAGAAGCTGTAAATTGTTAAGACTGCCATAGCCCTCTAGGCAGTGTGCTAAGTCACAGAACTTTGATTATACATTCTTGGCTTGGCTCCATCATTAAGGATAAATTTTAACATAACCTAGTGCTAAGTAATGAAAAGAGAAGGGGGGAGAGACTGAGGGAGACTCTCTAAATAAAGATATTCTTGCCTAGGATTTATATGTTTTTTTAAAGAGAGAGTTGATTATTTTGGATATGTTTAAAATCAGAAACAAGCTCTATATTTATTTCTTTAAAAAGTTGGGATTTGGGTGTTCCAAAGGAACACTTCTATTTGTAAAATGCTTTTATTCCTTGTTTTTTCTATCAGCCTCTTAATTATAAAAATGTAGTCTTTTAAATATGCCCTGAGCCCAGATTGAGTCTTTTTTGGCAGAAAAAAAGGCTTTTAGGTGAAATGAAATATTTCCTTATTGTGATTGCCAGATGACATTTATAGATATTTGTGCTAATTTTTCTCCATCTCGGAGCTCATTTTTGGTATTTCCACATCAATATCATGAGGGGCTAAGAACGTCAAGGATAAGAAATATGATAACTGATTGAGAAAAAACATATATTTTAGATATATTCCATGCAGATATAAGTGTTTGGGCTTCATGCCTCAGCACCTTCAGAGACTCTGACCTTCAACAGAGATGATTATGATTTGTAAAACTTCTCAGAATTTCTGTACCTCATGATACAGAAAGATGTCTAGTGAGGGTTGTCTGGACGTCCCATGTTGACTCTGGGACTCAAAATCTGTGGAAGCTTCCTGCGCCACCCTCTCCTCTCCGCTCTCCTCAGCCATGGTAGGGCAGTGTGCAGATGGCCACAGTCTAGGGAGGCCATGTGTCATGCTGGGTGAGTTGCAGTCTTCGCTGGTTTAATTCACTCTTCTACCTGTTCTTCCCATAACGCAGGTGAGGCAATAATGACTAAATAACCTCTTAGGGTTCCTGTGACTAGAATGGTACACAAGATAGGCACACCACTCCCTTCCTTACGGTGATGTTGTCTTTAGTGTAGCCTAAAACACCTGTATTGGCATGAACTAGGAAGAAAGCATGGCGCCTCCTGTGTTCCTCACATGGCGATGGATTCCTATTGTCCATCATCACACTTAAATCAATCTGGCAATGTGCTGCTCACCTCATGCCTCTCAAATGTCATCTTGCTTTTCTGGTGGTGTGAAACCAGGGTCTGACATAACCTGACATTCTCAGGGCAGCCATGCTGCCTACTCCGTTGAAATGTGATGGAAATCAAGGCTGCCCCGGAACTAGCTCCCAATCCAGAAACTTCATTTTACCATCAACCCAGCCCTATCCTTTAGATAAGGCACTCAATGTGTCTGGGGTCTCCATCTCTTTCATCTGTAAAATAGTACAGTTGCTCAAATATTAGATGATCACTGAAGGTTTCTAGTTTCTGTGATTTCTAACCTCCTCCACAAGATGTCTACTAACATCCTTTAATTCAATTCGGGGTTCCAGAGCAGTACATGAGTAGTACATGGCAAGGATTTGGCAACTGGCCTCATTATCACTATGTTTACATTTCTTTGGCCATATTTCTTTGTCTTGGTGTTCATTCATATGTGATATTTTTGTGAAGCATTTTCACACAGTTGTCTTTAACTCATGCCTTGAGTTCCTCAGAAGAGAAAGACTTTTCTTTGGGCCTATCAAGTACAGACCTGTTGGTTGATGTGTGAAGACAGAAATATTTGTCACACATGCAATTACACTGATGTGGGAGGTACCAAGGGAAGGTTCTGACCGGTGTCTAAAACTTACTACACAACCCAGTAATTCTTTTTTTTAACCGAAGCTGCCAGTCCATGAGGACAGTCAATCCCACAAGTGAAATCACTTTCCCAAATACCCAATCACCCTTTGTTATGGCTGTGGCTTCGTCTTGTCACTTCTTGACACTACCTCAGATGTTTTCCACTGTGGATTCTTTTCTAACTTAAAAACAAAAACAAAAAGTTTTTAGTTTCTTAGATGTTACAATGAATGAAAACTGTTCCAACTATTTATTCCAACAGATTTTTTTTTTAAATAATACATTGAATACATTGAAGTGTCATTCTCCTTCCTAAATCACCAGGGTCCCTTCTCTACTTTACACCTTCTAGAAGTTTTGAGCTCTGTATTATTTATTGATGCTTATTCTTTTTCATTCTGAAAATAAATTAATATGCAGATCACATACCAACACAGACAAAACTGAGGCTGTTGCTAAATGTAAATCAATTCTGTTTATGATTTGCTCGTTCTCCAGCTTGAGGATGGAACAGTTTCTACACCGTTGGCTCTGAGCCAGAGGACATTTCATAGTGCCAAGAGGGATGGAACTTCAATGGCTAAATTTGAGTTTTTTTCCCATAAGCTGTAACCTTGTGCCCTCCCTCCAACTCCCACCCCCAAGCAGTGACCCTCTGGTGGAAGCCTGCAGTTTTCTTTGTTTGTTTCTTTAATTATACAGACAGTAGGATCAGCATCCTTACTAGCATATAGAAAAATCAGAGAAACAATGCAACCAACCGTGTAAGTATTTTTTTTTTATTCTCTAGATCCATTCCTTTAGAAACCAGAAGGAACCTAGGTCATAAATCCTGTGGCCATGGTACTTGAACCCATAGCATATGTGGAGGGTCTGGGCAGTCTTGTCCTTCAAGTGAACATGGTCCTGTTCCAAGCACGCTAACCCATGCTTGTTGGGCTTGAATGATGTGAAGGTGGGTCACAGGTGCTGTCACTTTAGATTTATTCTGCTCACAAACATAAACTGGTATGTGAACAGTATAAATAATGACAGACCTTTAGAAGGAGTGTTTGGGTCGTGAAGGTCACTCGAACTACAACAGGGTTTGGTGGGTTTGGTGGTGGGATGGTGACCACAGGAGAGTCAGACTGAATGATCACAGATTTGTCCGTCACTCCTGGACTTTGGTCAGTAGACATTCAATGGGTACGACCTGTGTGCATAACACCGAATGAAGGGCTGCTGCAAAAAAGAACTCCTTAAAATTCATCCTGAGGGTAAGCAAAGGAGAAAAAAAAATACCTATACTCCAATGCTTTGTCAGACATCATGAAATTCACAAGGAATGAAAATTTGCTGATGCTAGAATTCTAAAAAATTTCAAAAAACACCCACCATCTCTTCAATTGTGATATTACAATGAATTCATTCATTCAACCCGTATTTATTGAGTGCCTACTTTATGCCAGGCTGTGGGGATCTTAAAAATGATAGAACGTTATCTCACTAGTTTATAGTCTAGCGAGGGACACAGTGAAGTAAACAGACGGTCAGCATCGTGTGAAAAGTGTTATGAAAGAGGTACAACTCAGGCTGGAAGCCAAAGTCTATGGGGTGCGTGGAAGGAGGGTGATGAGGGAAGTCCTCCCAGAGGACGTGGCATAGGGACTGTTTCTACACCATGATGTGAACTTTCCTTTACGCTACAAAACCATCTTCATTCATGGCTATGAGGATCAAAAAGTATATTTTGGAGCCATATTACTATTTTATGACTTATTTTGAAATTTGTTGAATCTTTGTCCTTAACCATTCTCATAAAAGGTAGGGCTGAATATTTTTAAGCTTTGAAACCATGTAGCTAAGTAAGTGTATGACTCTTAAGTCATCCTCCGTAACTTCTCAATTCCTCTCGTTTGGGAGGCTTCTCTTTCACACTGAAATTTGACTGAGCGACTTCCCTTGACACAATGTCAAAAGCGAGTTTGTTTACTATTTCATTAAGAAATTCATCTTTGAGTTGAAAAAAGCCAAGCATTAATACACAGGCTTATAACCAGACCTCACCTCTGGAAAGTTCTAATTAAGTGTGTTACACAGAGTATTTGTGAGAAAAAGAATGTCCCTGAGGTGGGGACTTGGGGTGGTGCGAGGAGGTGCGATGGTAGAGTGATGAGTGCTTCTGTTGGGCACAAGTCACGTGCCACACACTGTGCTGGTGTCTCATGTGAGTTTTTTTTCCCATTTAACCCGATTCTAACAGAAGTGTGACATTACGTTGCACCGCTTTTTAAAAACCAATCTTAGAAAACCAAGTTTTCTTGGAAAGATTCCGTGTATGGATAGGATACCCCTCTTCTTTCTCTTCTTTCAAGCACAGCTGACTTTTCTCTCTCATCCACTATGATCTTTAAGATGGAACGGATGTGGGGTGCCTGGGTGTGGCTCAGTTGGTTAAGCATTCCACTCTTGATCTCAGCTCAGGTCTTGATCTCAGAGTGGTGAGTTCAAGCCCTACCTAGTGTGGAGCCTACTTTAAAAAACAAAACAAAAAAAAACCTAAAATGGATGCTTCTAGGGAGCCCCTTCTTGGCTGGTCATTATTCATAACTAATAGGATTGTGTATGTAAAAATCCAAATGAATCAGGAAAATATTAGAATTCATAAAAGAATTTAGTGATGCTGCTTGACGCAAAATTAACATGAAGTCAATTTTATTTCTATGTACCAGCAAAGAGTTGGAAAATAGGATTTTAAAAATAATCCCAGCTACCATAGGATAGAAATATGATGTAGAAATAAAGCCAACAGAATGAGCTCCCAAATATTTCATGATCCTTTGTTTGATTTGTCTATCTTTGCACCAAAACTATACTATCTTAATGCTATAGCTTTTAGTAAGTCTTGATATCTGATAAATCAAGACACACACACCCCAACTTTGTTATTCTTCCTCAAGAACTTTTTAGGTGTTCCTGGCCCTTTTGTTTACATATGCGGCTGAGAACCAGCTTGCCAAGATCCATGTAAAATCCTGCTGGGTTCTTATTGGAAATAAATTGAATTTAAGGCTAATATAAAGAAGGTTAACCTACTTACGATATTTGAATCTGCCCATCCACACTTATGCATGTTCCTCCATTTATTTAGCTCTTTTTTAATAACTGAATCAAACTTTCATTTTCTTCATAGAGAGCTTAAAACATTTTTATTGGTTTTGTTCTTATATACTTCATATTTATATGATGTAACTGGAATCATTTTTTAAAATTTCGTTTTCCAATTATTTGCAAGTACGGAGATAAAATTGACTTTATGCTAATATAGTATTCAGCAATATTACCAAACTCTCTTTTTATTCTAATGTTTGCCTGTAGATCCTTATGGGTGTTTTACTTACGTGTAACCTTATTGGTTATGCATAATGACATATGCCTTCTCTTTCTTTTTGCACATTGCTTAGTACTTTCAATGCAGTTTTGGTTAGAAGTAATGATTGCAGGCATCCCTACTGTGATTTCTGACGGGAAACAGAAGTCTGTCAACATTCACCATCAAAGATGATGTTTACTGCAAGTTTCTCGTGAATATCCTTAATCAGGTCAATCAAGACACTTTATATTCCTAGAGTATTGAAGTTTTTATTGTGAATGGGTGTTGAATTTTACCAAATAGCCTTTTTCTGGATCTACTAAAATAATCATAACATGTTTTTTTCTTCTGCTAAAATGGAAAAACATCAATTGATGTTTTAATGCTAAAACAAAATTGCATTCCTTGGAATAAACCCAATTGGTCATGCTATGGTATCCTTTTAGTAGATTACTAAATTCCATGGGCTCGTGATTTCCCTGGGATTTGTGCACCTAGGTTCCTGAATGAGATTTGCCTGTGATTTCACTTTCTCAAAGTGTTCTGGTTGGGTTTAGGTGGCATTGTCATATTCGATTCACAAAATGAAGAAAGGAGTGGTTCCTCTGACGTAGCAAACTTAGCATGTCCACAACTGAACTATTGACCTTCCACCACAAACATGCTGCCTGCCCTCTATAGTAAGGGTAATTCCCTCCTTTCTGTTGCTTAAACCGAAAATCTTGGTGTCATCTTTTTCTCTATTATTCCACATCCAACCAATCAGAAAATCCTTCCCGTGCTGCTTTTAGTATGTCCATAATCTAACCACTGTCTGTGACCCTGGCGTTCCACTTTTGTCCGGGTCCCAGTCATCTGACTCCTGTGTTTTTGCACTAATCCCCCTGATCTAGCCCTGCTACCTCCTACTTTAATTTGGCTCTCTCTCCCCTTCAGTTCCAGCCACACAAGCTCCATTCCTAGACCACACCAGGAGAGTGGTCACCTCAGGGCATTTGCACTGCTCACTGCACCTGTCGGAATGGCTCTCCCTCCAACTATCCACCTGGTTGTCTCAACTCTTTTAAGACTTTTCTCAGATGTCATCTCTAATGAGGCATTCCATGGACACCCTATTTCAATGGCAGCTTCTACACCATCCCCCGAACCTTCCATCCCCTTTACTGAGTTCCGTATTTTCCATAGCACTTCTGACACCCTAGCGAGCTAATGTTTTCATATGTTGGTTTATTTTCTGTATTTGCTCCCATTAGAAGTAAGCTTAATGAATTCGGGGTTTCATTCTGTTTCGCTTGCTGCTATATTCCCAGCAACTAGAACGGTATCAGTGTAGGCACTCAATAAACATGTATTAGATGTGTGAGTGGTTGAATGTGTGGGTAGATGGCTAGATCAAAGAACCACCACAGACTAGAATTTCCTGTGATATGTTCCTTGGAACACTAGTCCTATACAGTAAAATGAGTAAGTGGAATTCAGGTGACAAAAATCTGCTCATTATTGAACACTTCAATGCAATTTAGGGCCTCACCAAGTTAAGAACAATGTTTTGCAGAAAGTATTCAAGCACAGCCTAGAGGTTAATGATTAAAGATGTGCACTTTATACTCATAGCAGGTTCGGGATTAGATGATTAGATGCTTTGTCCCCCAAAGGGCCCCAAACACAAGTCACTTCAAGGTCCTGTGGTCCTGTGATCCCTCCCGGGTTGTCAATTAGCAGAGCTGATTGTCTTGTTTATTGGGCCTGTGACGAGAGTTTGGCTCTTGTTGCAACTGGTAATTTCTAGAAGCAGACCACTGTGTCCTGTTAAGCAAGTATCGTGTTTGCAGTGTTGAGATTTTCTTCTTGGAGAAAAATCAAAAACCCTGGTAGGAATTATTGGCCAAAAAGCCAGAATATTTGTGCATCTCGAAATGTGTGTATCTTGGCTAGAACAAAGTCACTGTCAGAGACAGAGGGAGCAGTAAAACCCTGGCACAAACTGCCAGAGGAAATATGGCCACTGATGCAACCCCTTTTTGACATTATGCCTTTTCACTTTTTACTAATACTGCTTTATGTTTCCTATTCTGCCTTGCATTTTTGGCCTTTGAAAAGAAACAGAATGCTCTCGTGACCTTCTTTTTTTTCTTTTTTTAAACTGAATGTCACCTTTTCAAGAGTCAGTTAGCATGTATTCCTAGTGACACGACCATATGGGGGGTGTTCTAAAACATGTTCCCACTCCCGGATATTGTGCTAAGGGATTTCATAGAGAAATAACAGGGGAAAATTGAATTCTGTAACATTTTAAAAATTCTTCTCCTCAGATTCCATCCAACAGAAATAGGCTACATACCACACTGGGAGAAGAGAGCACGGAGATAAAATTTCCTCTGACATTTTTTGATTCACTCATGCTCTTTAGAATATATGGACATGACATTAATAGTACAAAGGCAGTGCTTTGAAGTTCAACTGTGTCTCTTTCCAAAATTAATCAGTGTTGACCCATTAACTAAAATTCTGATGGAAAAAAATATTGTTTACTATCATGTATAAGGATTTTGCTTTTCTTCTTAGGCTGTTTTCATTTGTTTCTTCTGCATCCTTTTAATGGGATTTCTAGGTCTCTTGAAAGGTAAGGTTAAAGTTTAGAGCCTGGCCTGCACTCAATAACAAAATTATTTGAGAAGTAGGATTTTGCTTCCTCTTGCTCAGAAAACAGATCTCCTCATGTTTCACACTTAACCAAAATCATTCTCCATTCATACCCAAGGAATCCGAGAATCTGACACAGTTTAACATACTAACTTCTCTCCTTGCCATAAGCTTAGCCCTCCTTTTGAATTCAAAGTAGTGATGATTTTCAACCCTCCTCAAGTCTTCCTTTTCGAATGCCTGTGGCTACCTCTCAGTCGCTTCTAAATCGGGAGTGGGAATCCGTCACTGACACTGACACGTGCGGCGAGAAGCCATCCACCTACTGAAGACTTCATGATTAAACCATTCCTGCACCTGATTTTCATGCCAACCACATACCAGCCATCAGAGTCCATGTGACGATTAGATTTGGCTCGCGAGGCTTGGGTCTCTACCCGCTTTATCGTAACCCGCATGCACGGTCTTTAAGAAACAATACTTGACCTAAATGCCGATCCCGACGAAAACGTTTTCTCTTTCTTCCAGTGATGCCGAAGACCACAAGCCCTTGAAAAAAGGCAGTCGGACACCTTCAGACAGGACAGTGAAGAAAGAAGACAGTGATGACAGCCTCGTTGACTATGGAGAGGGGGTGAATGGCCAGTTCAATGAGGACGGCTCCTTTATTGGACAATACAGTGGTAAGAAAGAGAAAGAACCGGCGGAAGGAAACGAGAGCTCCGAGGCACCTTCTCCTGTCAATGCCATGAATTCCTTTGTTTAATCTGTAAACTCTCTGCCAATATCCCATTTCTCTAGAATGTGTCTCTTATGCACTCGGTCTGCCTTCTCATGCTAGGAACACAGAGGCAGGAAGGGTTGTGTTCTGCCGTACCTTGCTATTATGAGAGTGGCACAAACACGTACATAACTCAGATGATTCGTTCATGTGAACGGCAGTGCAGAGTGCATCCTTTTTCATTCGAAATAGGTATTCTTGTTCAGAACTGATAAAAATACTACAACACCATCAACCGATCACGTTATTTGCTCTTTGGGTACAGTTCAATACGCTGCATGAAAATTGCTACACGTGAAGGAATACCTGTGTACCTTGTTAAACATGGTTTGATACTTTGTGGATACTCTCCTCCGCTGAACCCCCTGAAATACCAATTCCGTTGTCATTGTCAAGAGTGTTACTGTAGTATTCTCTAGAACTCCAATGTCTTTGTGGACATTGTGGTGACATTGGTGACTCTATGTCTAGCTGTCGTTAGTCTTTTTGGGAGACTGTTAGCAACAGTATGTACAGGATATCCTTGCTACATGAGTTCACGACGATGGTCACATTTGCAGATGCCTTTTGCTGAGGCTCTGTGACCGGCCTCTGTCCCCTGTCACTCCGTAGCCTCCTTATTTCTCCGGGTACTACCGCAGCACAGTGTTCAACTTCTCACACCTTCCCTACGGTCAGTTGTTCTTAGGCATAAACGATGTGTATTGCAATGCGTTTTGGCACAGAACGCCAGACTGGAAAAATCGAAAAAGAATCACTTCACTTCCAAAAACGACTCCAGAAAGCACAGGGCAAGACACGTGTAGTGCCTTCGGACCAGAAGCATTCCATAACACGCTGTTTTCCGTGGTGGCCAGCCTGGCCGACGCGGAGCCCTAGCTTCCTGTCGTGCTCCACAAGTAACTTCTAGAAAGCAGAGGTCCTAGAAGCGGCCAATGCTGAAAGAAAGGAAACGTGAACCTAAAGTCAATTAGACAGTGGATGGAAAGGAGCATTTCCCCATACGTATAAAAAGAAGCCTTAGCCCCACCTAGAGGGCATGCTGGTTTTGTGGGCTTTTGTGGTTTCTGTTCAAACGAGCCAATTGGGTCAGAAGGCTGTTGATTTGGGAGGGAATTTGGGGGGATGGGGGAGATATTCCCAAACTGGAAGCAGACAACAGCATGCCAACAGGAAAGCTTTTCTCCAAGCCTTTTGAAACTCTCCGCAGCATTCAACAGCGTGTACACATATTGCCATGGACACATTTCCAACACTCAGAAATCTGATGAGTGCTAACAAGGCCAATAGTCCAAGGGATTATATCCCCAGTTTCCAGAACATACACACACATCCTACCGTAACCACCAACGATATCTGTCAAATGGTTTACCTCCAAATAGGAAATCCTCTAACAACCTATGGTTGAAGGAATGCTCAGTTTCATTTGCCAATAAATTGGTTTCTCATAACTTGCATCAAGTTTAATTTTAAGTAAAGCTTTTTATATGTAGATATTTTGTTGAATCTGTAAATACACTGAAAGTGTAGATGCTACATGCTTCAAGGTGTTGCCTACGAATAAACGCGCAACCAATGTTGACGTCGTACTGCCTAAGAAGTTAGCTCATGAATACAGTGCATGGGATTGGAAAGCATTTCCTTAAATGCCTTTTGGGTTTTTATTTTCCCTTTTTTGCTGTGAAACTGAAATAGTGAACGCTCTGAGATATTGACAGTGAGTTTCTAGATGGACTCCTCGGAGCTTTGCCTGTGGGGCTCAGTAGGCATCTTCGCTCTATGTAGGCAAAGCCCAGTCTGAAGTCCTCCCAGGTCATGATGGCCCTAACTATGTCCACGGCTCCGTATTCCCTTTTCACAGACCAGCCGTGTTAACGGAAATACAGAAAGACAAGACAGGCTTGCCTGGACAGCAGTGAGCACAAAGAGAAAAGTGACTTTAAATAAGTTTGCTGGTGTTTGTTGGGGGAGGGGACAGTAAAAGTACAGTTTTTACTCTTCCGTAACGGTAGACGCTAGAGTTATCTGTGCATGAAGGGGTCACCTCTGTAATAGTGCAACAGATTTTGTATTAAAAATTAAATGTGGTTTTAAACACCCCTCTCTCTTTTGTAATAAGTCATGTTCCTAGTGGAGTGTGAATGTCCAAAGTAACGGTGTATTTAAACGTACAGGCAGATATGACTGGATTTCCATAAAAAAAAATCACTATTAAACCATCTTGATCTCTTTGTGATCTTGAACTTTTTCCATCTTTCTCCTAATGTTTTCAAATAGTGCAGATTTTTATTTTTGCCTTCGAAAGACATGCAGAGAAAATTTAACACAAAACTGAGAACAGTAGACTACGGAATTAACAAAACAGGGGACATGCCAAGAAATTTGTAATGAAAAGCAGGTGGAGATATGGCCAGCCTTTTGAGAAATGGTCAGAGAAATAAGATGCTGCTGCCTTTGCTGAAATGGGACCTCCATGGGTCTGGTTCCCAGGTGCCCGCTGTCAGCCTGTCCACGTGGCCGGACTTCGCCCTCCCCAGCCCCGGGCAACATGGATTCCTTCCCCTCTCCGCTCAGGGAGGCGGTTTCTGCATTTGCAATGATACGGGTCTGTCACCCACTCCCTCCTCTCCAGCCCGGTGGTTCCCAGTGTCTCAGACACCACACCGTCACTCACAGCTGTGTGGCACGCTGGAAGCCTGACCACAAAATGCAGCGGTCCCCTGGGGCCTTCCCGCTCGGACAGTTTATAACGGCCCTCATCTACTTTTAGTGCCTGATTCTGGAAATGGCTTGTAGAGGCAAGGGAGAGAGATAAAAAGAATTCGCACCCATACTTAGCCGATCTCTCGCTCATGGGATCTTTTTCTACGAACTACCACCAGAGGGCTCCCGTGCTTTAGTCAGCGCAAAAGAAACTGCAGGAAAATGAAGCCTCTGGAAAAAACAGCGCAAACCACTTTTCCTGATCAGACTGTGGTCTGGCAGGGCAGAGAATGAGTGCCTGCTGCGCCTGGAGAAGATGGGGATTTGCAACTTTCTCTGACCGGTTCACACCTTCCAGGGGCCGGTATGAGTCACTGCGATCCTTGTGCCTCTTCTTCCTCTTTCTGATTGCTGGTGGCTGATCAGCGGGAGGATGGGGAGGAGGAGCGAACCCCTGGCTCCCACGAGGCCCCCCATCACTGCCACAGGCTGGTGGGGGTCAGGATGGCAGCAGGTCCTTAAAATGGTGTCCCCTCTTCCCCAAGAGCCACCAGTGGTCCGATGTTTTGTGATTGGATAACACAAAAGGCACAGTTTAAGGACAGTTTTTATTTCTCACTAAAAAAAAAAAAAAAGGCAGGCAAGGGAGAGAATACAACCAGGGTGTTTATGGTAACAAACAAATGGTTCTCAGGTTGAGCTAGAAAGAGACCAGGATGGACATTCCAGCTCTGCCATCAACCGTGACGGTGTAGAGGTCACCCCCCCACCACCACGACCACCAGTCTCCCACGTCTTCTTAAGTTTCTCCAACTTAAAAACGTCAGAGAGCAGATGATTTCTAGCATCCTTTTCTGTTTAAATCCTACAGTTCCTAATTCCCCCTCCCCAAAACACTTCTAGCACTCACGACAGCCACGTATTTTGCTAAGTAGGGAGGGAACAAGATGAGCAGAACCAGAAGTGGTTCCTGCACTCGTGGGCGCCTGATGTGAGAAGACAGACAGGAATCGAATAACCACCCAAATGAATGTGTTAATTCCAAACCAAGATGAGCCCTATGAAAAGAAGGCACAGGTTCCATGAGAGGGAGCCATAAAAGGGGCTCACTGGTGCCCCTTCTGACTAGAGTGGTCAGGAAGTCTTCCCTAAGGAAGTGGGAGCTGGGTGCTGGGCACGGGAAGGATCCGGAAGGAGAATGTAGGACGTGTGTTTGTACAACAAGACCTTCGTGCCTGGAACAGAAGTGGGGCCCTGGCCAAGCTGGGTCCCAAGGACCACGGGACAGGTTTTCATCTTTATTCAAGGAGCAGTGTCAAGTGTGGAGTAATTGAAGGGGTTGAAGCAAAGGGTTGTATGATTGGGTTTGTGTTCGGGCTGGAGGCAGAATTCAGGAGATTGAGTGTGAGGGATGGCCTGGAAGAGGAGAGCTGGAGAGACTGACAGCCACTGGGGACCTTCACAGAAGTTTAGACAACAGGTGATGGGGGTTGGACCGGGATTATCCCACTGGAGATGGGGAGAAGTGGGCAGGTCCCAAAGCCATTTAGGAAGAAAACTGAGGGAGCAAGAGATTCGACGTCAGAGGCTGAGGAACGGGGAGGCAGCAAAGACAGCTCTTCGGTGTCTGACTTCTAACCAGATGTGAAGGTCAATGAAGGGGAACATTGGGAAGGAACCATATTTGGGGCTAAGTCATGAGTTCAAGTTAATAAATGAGCTTGAAAAGCCTCTGAGACATCCAAGTAGAAAGGATTAGTAGAAACTGGATGTATGGGCTTAATGCCCTAAGAAACTTCTAAGATGAGGAGTAGTAATGAAGCCATGAGGCAGGGATGAGGTTGCCTAAAGAGGAAATACTGGCAAGAAAGCTAAGGAATCCAGCCTATTGAGAAACTCCCACGTACAATGGATAGGAAGAGGTGGACAGAGCTCTAAAGCAGACCAGGAAGCAGAAGCCAGAACGCGAAGAAATAGGGAGAGTGTTGTTGTTCTGGAACCCAGTGAGAGACCATTTCAAGAATGGTGTCATGTAATGCTGAGACATCAAACACTTCTTGGATTTGAAGGCCTGGAGGCCATCTGATTGCTAGACTGTGGTAACAGGTTGCGGTGAGGAATGAGTGGAAAAGGGGGGGGAAACAGATGTGCCATTATCCGCGTGGATAGCCCACATGTACCTGGGCTCAGTTCCTTCTTTCTTCCTTACTTTTTTAAAAAATATGCTTTTTTTTTAATTTTTAAAGATTTTATTTAGTTATTTGAAGGAGAAAGAGGAAGAGAAACACAAGCTGGGGAAGTGGAGGGAGAGGGAGAAGCAGGCTCCCTGCTCAGCAGGGAGCCCAGCGCAAGACTCAAACCAGGGACTGTGACCTGAGCCGAAGGCAGATGCTTAGCCCCCTGAGCCACCCATGCATC